GCCACAGCCTCATCTTTCACACAGCATCCAGCCCGGATCCGAGTGAGAGTCAGCTGTTCACAACCACCTCCTCCTCAGGGAGACCCCAGCACATCCTTCCTTTCCTGCCACACCGTGTTGGTCTGCCTCAGATAGCTGAGGTTCCCCTTACTGTCTCCCTTCATCCTGCTGGGGTATGTTGGGGTACACTCTGTGCCGAGCTTGGGGCAAACACCACAGTTTCCGTTCACGCTGAGCACAGAGCCCATGCCCTCTGCTAAGAGAAGACAGCTAACAGCCTCAGAAGGAAACCGACAACAGATGGGTTCTTGCAGGATTTACAAAATTGACATGGCTCCCAGACCCTCTGCCCCCAAGACAACATCATCTATTTATACTTCGTCCATGTATAACACTGGTCCACGGTGCGCCCCAGCGAATGCATGCATCTTCCACGCTGCATCCCCTACGCTTAGCAATCAGACCAGCACACGGGGGCTATGGCAAAGGCAGCGCTGAAAAAAAGCAGCCAGAAATCTCTGGCCACGCTGTGTTGGGATGAGTAATGCCTTCCAGAGCATCGGAATGCAGCTACTCTGCTACTTCAGCCCCCTTCTGGAGGGCAGTTCATTTAAGGACTTACAATTATTATGTTGTTTTAAAAAGCACTCCCTTGGAGCAACTATGTTCCTCTTTGTGAAGTTCCTGATACAATGCAATGTATCCCAAACCGAAGGGGACCTCTCCAAAACTTCCAAAATGAAGGGGACCGACCTATCCAAATCTTCCAAAACGAAGGGGACCTATCCAAATCTTCCAAGTGGAGAAATGAACGTGATTTGCAGGGGCTTTGGATCTGCAAGTATGTTGAAAGCCTTCTGCCTGCCGTCCAGGGCAATAAATCCGTTTTATGTCTTGGCCCAGGCCACCCAGACACGGAGAAACAGAACGAAAGCCTCATGGTTGCTCATTCCGCTGGGCTCCTGATGAGACACACGGCTGCTTTAGCCTCTAGTGAATTTTCTTCTTGTCAACAAAGCTGCCGCCCACGGAACTCTCGGCCATCAATGCATCCCAAGCTACCGTTGGAGAAACACACTGGTTTGCGGGCTTGCGACCGACTCGGGGGTGGGGGGAAGAAAAAGGATGCATCTGGTTTCCTGTTTAGGGGATTTTTAATAATACGGCTACCGAGCGAGAGTACACGAGGGATCGTGGCAACGTTGAGTCATTCCGAAACAAAGCTGAAACACATCCATGTGCCGTCTCCCCAAACTGGTCTAACAACCACACCAGTGAAGAACAAGAAACTCAAGAAAGGGAAGTGTTGTGTCTCTAGGGGTGTGGAAGATACTATTAATTCCCTAAATACAACTAGAACTTTGGTGAGTGACCATCTCTCACCCCCAGACACTGGCACACCCAGGAAAGTGCATCCATCTGGTGTTGGATGGTGAACCACCCAAGGCGTCCAAGCAACATGGCGGCACCAAGATCACCGACGGTCCACGCGGCTTTCTCTCCCACAGCGGGGCGGACATAACCGAATCCTCACAGCCGCTAACTGGGGTGGAAACGCCCTGTGGGTTGCGTGGGTCCCTGCACTGTAAGGTTTCAGGGCGAATAGAAATGAAAAAGAAGACTCCCCGTTGAAAATACAGGAGAAACATAAGGGAAGGCCTGCCCTTCCTTTCAGACATTCTCTGTCTTTGTCAAGCATATGGAAACGTTTGCAATAGCTAAATACGCTGCTCACGTATATGACGGGGAATCTGCGCACAGCCACATGCAAGCAGGAGGACTTGCTGTGTGCGTTCCCCACCCCAGCGGATCGCCCGCGATTGGGGTTTCATGCATATTCCTTCCTAACCCTGCTTTCTGCCCCCTTCTACCTCTGTAGAAAAACCATCTTGGTTGGGAGAGGTCTCGTGTAATTACCACCCCCAACAACACCCTTCCTGTCCCCTTGCAGATTTCCCCGACAAATAACACCATCAGGAAAGAGTTGGCAAGTCTGGATCCCATAAGTTCCGTGTGGATGACAATGTTCGCTGGAGGCAATTCTACTCATCCTCAAGGGTGTGTCCTTCTCAGAGGTTTAGAAAATGCACCTCTGTCCGGAGAAAGCATTTCCCAGAGCACCGTATCCCCCTTGCCCCTAAAAAGGACTTTTGGAGTCCCTCCCTAAACACATGCTCCGTCATCCATCACAAGAGTCGGCAAAGGACCAAAGGATGTCCCAGAGCAATCCCTGCTGATTCACGTGGGACAGACGCCCAGACATTAAAACAAAGCACACGAGGACACATGGACATGTCTTGTGTCCCGTGTGTCTCTCCGACCCTCACAAAGGCTGGGCGTCCTACAGAACACTCCTCCAGTCTCTGGGCATCCGAATGATCCCAGGTAGAGCCACAATGTTGACTAATTCTGTTTTTTTAAAAAGAGGTGTTCCAACTCACGTTGCCAAAAATCAAGACCCGATTTTGAGATCAAGAGTGAGCTTCTTCACAAACGGAGCCACCCAGGCGCCCCCCGAATGCTGAGTAATTTCGAGCCTCCAAACACACATTCGTCTTAGAGCTCTACCCTGTCTGTAAGTCATAAGACACGTGGGATTGTTTTCCCCTTAAAAGAAGCCACCGTGCATTGGGAAATCTCAGGAGGTGGAAACACCATGATGACCACGTGTGTTCTACTCAGGGTCCCGTGGGGGAAGCCATCCCCTGAGAAAAAGGCCAGATTCCGTCCACGAAATCCTGCTGGACCCCTTCATGTTGAATTGGTTATACTGCTCTATTAGCCACATTCTGCTCTAAATCAAAGCAGGCAGCCAAGACGTCATCCAGATGGAAGAAAAAAAAAATCTACAGAAGTCAATTTCCTATCTCGACATGAAAAAAATATATTTTAAAAAAAGCGTTAACCTCCTAAACTAAGAACAGAAAAAAGCGCCAACGCATGCAGGTCAACAAGTGCAATTAAGTTTTATCAGAGCCCAAAGGGCAGGCGGTCAGCCTCCTCGGCAAACAGGCGGGGCCACGAAAGCCACACCCACGAGGCGGAGATCAGAGCCTTCGTCAGGACACTGGAGAAACCAAGCCCACATTTTGACATTTGGGGCTGCATGACTCTCTGGGGTGGGGCATTCTGTGCATGGTTGGGTGTTGAGCAGTCTCTGGTCTCCACCCACCACCTGCCCCGGTACCCTTTCCCCCAGGTGTCACACCTCAAAAAAAAATAAAACGAAAACAAAAAAACGTCCCCAGGCATTTCCAAGGATCCCAGGGGTGGGGAAAACCCGGCTCCATGAAAGGTGAAATGCCTCTTTACGCCTCCTCCATCCCTCCCTCCATTCCCATGGGAATTTCAGGAGAAAGACAGGAACGGGGGGGGGGGGGGGGGGTGGCCCTGGGTCCTGAGGACTTTGAAATCCACCCCCCGCCCCGCCCATGCTAGTAAAAGCAAAGGTCTGTCCCCAGGCTCAATGGGCTTTTATAGCTATTGTGCAAACTACACCAAGCACGTATTTCTATAGGAAAGTGTGTTCTGACCTTCACCAACTGGCAAGCGCTTTTCCTGATTAAGACAAACAAAAAACCTGCATTTGTATCTTTTGGAAGGGCTGGTTCCTGACCCCAGAAGGATCAGGTAGGGAGGTCTGGGGGGGGGGGGGGAAGGGGGTGGATGGGGGGGGTTGTGCATCCTCAGAAAGATCAACAGGTACTAAAGCTCCATCCTTCCAACCTTTCTCTGCTGTTTTTGCCTCAGGCTGGCTTTCCCTCCCTGGATCCCCGCACACGGGAGGGGCTCAAGGCAAAGTGCAGAAACACACACCCAGAGGGATCAATGAAAACTCCTTTCAGCACGTGTCATGCAAACACACAGCGGGAAGACAAACATGGGGGGGGCGGGGGAACAAACCCATTGCTGTTGGAGCAGACACAGCGGAAGGAAAAAAGGACATTTCCTCAGGAGCAAAGAGAGAAATTGGAGAGCCATGCGAGGCCCTCCCCAGCGGGCTGTAAAATGTTCCAAGATGTTCCCCCCCAGACCAGGCTTCATCTCCCCTGAAGCCCCCAGAGGGCACGGGGCCCATTTAAAAAGCACCCACATCACTTCACAAAATGCTCCCCCAAAACAACCAGGGTGCCAAGAAGGCAGAAGTCAAGCCCCAGCACCCAGCGGGAGGTCCCCCAACAGAGGGGGAAATTCCCAGCACCACGCAGGCCTTGGGTCATGATTCCTGGTTGCAAAAATGCGTCCACCTCGGAGCAGACGGGGTCCGGGAACTACTCTGCCGTGCGCCCGGCTGTCCACTTAGCAGTCTGGCCACCGTCCCCGGGTGGGTGGCTGCGGCCCAGGGAAATAACCGTTAGCAGTCTCTGGTCTCCACCCACCACCTGCCCGGGTACCCTTTCCCCCAGGTGTCACACCTCAAAAAAAAATAAATAAATAAAACAAAAACAAAAAGCATTCCCCCCATGGGAATGGAGGGAGGGATGGAGGAGGCGTAAAGAGGCATTTCACCTTTCCTGGAGCTGGGTTTTCCCCACCCCTGGGATCTTTGGAAATGCCTGGGGACGTTTTTTGCTTTTTGTTTTTGTTTTATTTTTTTTTGAGGTGTGACACCAGGGGGAAAGCTTCCAAAATGCCACGCCCAGCAAAAATCCGAGCTTTCCTTTGGAAAGGACAGAGGGAGAAAGAGGATGGCAACTTCCCCTTTAAAAGGAGAGCGACAGGAAAACAGGCAACTGCCAGAAACAGGCCTGGGCCGCCTGTGCGTAAAGTGGGGGGAAGAGGAGGTCCCCGGGCCTCCCCTAGTCCTGACACTTGTGTGTTTTCTGAAGTCTCCCCTGGGGCACACCCCGCAGTCTGCGGAGGACACGTTTCCTTCCACCGCGCGCGCAGCGAGCGCCCCAGTCCCCGAGGAGGCTTGGGCACACGGTGTCTCCGAACGCGCCCAGCGCTCCAAGTTGTTCTAAACTACCCCACCCCCGGCTCCGCCTGGTTGCAGGCTGCACAGCCGAGTCCAAATTTAGGCCGGGAACGCAGGGCGTGGCTCCCCGCGCACGAACAAAGCCGGGGCCCGGGGGGCGCCAGGGGGGCGCCCGGGACCGCTGCCGGGGTGCGCAGGGGCGCACACGCGGGCCGGGAGCACCTAAGGGCCAGCGGCTCCCCGCCAAGTGTCTCCAACTACCGGAGTCCGTGAGTTTGAAAACACGCTGCCTTTCGCCTCTGGCGTAAGTCCAAACCCGCCCAGTAAAAAAGTTGGAGGGCCCTGAGGCCGCCTCCTTGGGGCGTTGGCTACCCGCTGGCATGGCGCGTTCCGCCCCGGCGGGGAGGAGGGCGCGGGGGTCCCCGCTGCGTCCCCTAGGCCCGCCTCCGGCAGGGCGCCCCGCGGCCTTCCCTGGGGTCCCGGCGCGCGCGTCCCGATGCGGGTCCCCAGGCTGGCCGGCGCCCCCGGGGCACCCGCCCGCTCCCCTCCCCCCCCGCCCCGAGGTCTCCCAAGTCGCTCACCCCAGGCGGGCACCAGGGTGCTGAGCAGGCCGACCAGCAGCAGCGCGAGGGCGGCCCGGCGAGCCATGGTGCGTCTCGCGCCGCGCAGGAACTGCTCCGGGAGTGGGGCGCGCGGGTGGCGGCGGCGGCGGGGGCTGCAGGGCCCACGGGGCGGGGCAGGCGGAGGGCGAGGTGGGGGGGCGCCCTGTGGCCCCGCCCCGGCCTCCGCGCGCCCCGCCCGCGGCCCGGGACAAGCGGGCAGGGCTGGTTACTCAGAGCGGGGTGACCCCCTCCCTATTCGGAAAGTGGGGGCCTCCTACTCGCCCCTAAGGACCCCAGGGAGGCCTGGAAGGAAGCAAGTAACCCCCACCTCCCTGCTCAGAAAGTGAGGGCCCCCTACCCGCCCCTAACGACCCGGAGCGTGGCCCCGAAGGGAGCAAGTGATCCCCTCCCTCTTCAGGAGGTGGGGGCCCCTCCTTGTGTCTACAGCCCCTAAGGGGATCCGCGTTCTTGGGGGCGAAACCTCCGGTGTAGCCCCCTCCCTGCTCCTAACTCCTAACGGGGACCGTGTGCCACCTCCAAGGGGGCCAAAGAGAAATGCTCTCTTTTCCCTGGGACCGCGGTTCCCTGGCCCGGGGGCGGGGCAGCCCCCCCCCCCCCCCAGTCCCATCCCAAAGTCCAGGCTGAACTGACAGGGCCTGGAGCAGGGATGGGGGCTTTGGGGGCGCACGGCAACCCCCTCCTCCCCAGCCTCAACAGGGACCTCCCTGGGAGGAGCTTCCTGAAGCCTCTCCCCACCGCAAGCTGGGGGGTGGGCGCGCAGAAGGGGAGAAGCAGGAAACCCCTCCCGTTGCCCTTGGGAGGCGACTGCCGCCCTGGTGGGCCTCTGGCCAGGGTCCAAACCCCAGTCTTGGGGCTGGTCCCTGTCCCAGATTATCAGTATATATTTTTTATTATTGAGATGTTAGCTTAATATTCTCTCCGTGTTCCTTCAGGGTACAGAACGTCTCAGAACCGGGAAAAATCCCTGAGTCAGATTCCTGCATTCCACCCTGCACACCCTACCCCCATACCCGCGAGCTCCATCCTAGGGCACTCTCCTCACCCCTGCAAGAGTCAGGGCCCCTCCTCCCCGGGGCATCAGGTCACCTTACCGCCACCTACTGGGCTCAGACAGACACAGGGCAGGCCAGACGCACTAGACTGCACCCCGGGGCCCGCCTGGGGCAAGTGCAGGGATATTTAACTTAAAAAGGCATCCATCTGACCATACACAGCTGGAGGCTTGGAGGTGTCCTGTTTTCTATCGGCCAGTGCAGCGTGTGGACCCTGGGTTTGGGCACACAGGAGGCTCTTCTTGGGCAGCAAAGGGATGCTGGAGCTGCTGCAGCCATTTTGGCACCTTGAGGTAGGTCAGCACCCTGAAAGAAGCCACGCGTGCTTTGAGCCAAAGTCGAAATGCAAAGACCCCTCCCCCACCCAGGGAACCTTCCGGTTCAGCCCTGTCACCCCTTCAAAATAAAACCTAAACCTGGACAATCTTTAACCTTGGTCCCTTAGGCAGTACCACAGCTGAAACTGGCGTTGTCCACACCACCCTAAACGTTCCAGCACATTCTGCAGCCTGGGCTCACCTTTTATCCCCGAGGGGCTAGGTCCTCATCATCAGCTATCATAAATATGCATTGTCACTTGCACTAAAAGCTAGGCTTTAACTTTTTTTTTTTTTTTTTAATTTATGTTCATACCAACAGGCATCTTGGCTACTTCTCTTTCTAATTCATTAAGTTGACTTTGCCTTTTTTTTTTTTTTCAAGGGCCACCTTCCTTGGCTCAAAATGAAAATTTCCATCATCTTTTGCAGATGCCCTGAGAGCATCAGGAAGCTCTAAGCTCCAGAATAAAAATTAAATTAATTGAAGAAACCTCCTGAGTTGTATCCAAGCTCCACAGAAGAGATATTTGAAGGGCATACATCAAGACCTAGAGAGGGAGGAGGGAGGAGGCTCCTTTTGGAACAGGCTTCTTGCTATGCATGCGTTATGCTGGTTCAAACTCAGGACAGGAGGGAGGTCTGGGCGGTTTTGACAGTCCCTGTAACACACACACACGCACACACACACATGCACACGCACACACCTACAGACTGGCCCTTCTCCCACCTTTTACAGAGCATCCTTTGTGGACCACTGGGCTTTGTCTATTGACCTGGAAAATGGGTCTCAACGGGGACCCCAAGAACCCAACGGACAGAAAAAAGTACTTACAAAGCAGAACAGAAAAGACCGTATACACGGAGGGCGTGAGGGTGGCAGACAACCTCGGCTGTCAGAAGGGAAGTTTGCAGAAAGGAAAACCTGTCTAGGGGGGGAAATTCCAAGAGGCCTTTCCGGGTTTCAGGAAACTGGGGACCTGACTCCATCTCCTTGGGAAAACTCTGTCCCCACTGCAACCCAACACTGAGGTCTCCTCTTTGTGGCCCTGGAGTCAAAAGACACAACCAAACCAAAGAACAGCAAAAAGAAGGGTTTTACTTGCAATTTCCCAAAGCAGTGTCTTCTCCGAACCAGAAAACGGGGAGAGTCTGAAGCTCGGGTGCTTGCATAATCACGACAGGGCTTGCGAGGTGGGGGACCCAGGGCAGAAGTCATCTTAAGGTGTCAGAGTCCGGGTCCTACATGAGGGTCAGCAAGGCTCAGTATTATCAATACTCTGGCTCCGGCCAGTCTGCTGTTTGGGGAGCTCACAGGGGTTTAAAATCCTGCCAAAGGGACTCAGGAATGTGCACCAGGTCAATCTTGACTCTTCACACAGCGAGGGGAGTTGTACGCCTGGTTTCCTGTCTCCGATTCCATCGGGCTGGGTAGAGACTGTTTTTCCATTTTTTCGTTCCCCTAAAAAAAAAAAAAAAAAAAAAAAAAAATCATTAACTACTGAGCCTTGTGTATATTTTTGTCATGCTGACGTCCTAGGAAGTTCTGCAAGAAGTGTGCAGGGGTGGGTCGAGCCGATTGGCAATAGATCACAAAATGGTTGGGAGGGACCTAAAATGATGTGTCTTCTGTTTTTTGTTTTTTGTTTTTTAAGATTTTATTTATTTATCTGACAGAGAGAGAGAGAGAGCACAACAAGGGGCAGAAGCAGAGGGAGAAGCAGACTCCCCACTGAGCAGGGAGCCCGATGTGGGACTTGATCCTGGGACCCCGAGATCGTGACCTGAGCCGAAGGCAGACGCTTAACCGACTGAGCCCCCCGGGCACCCTACGTCATGTCTTCTGTTAAGAAAACTGTGCCTGGTCTTTCTTTCCCTGGGGACCCTTCACCGTATCTGCCGACAGATACAATTTTGGGGAAATCGGTTTCCAGGGAGAACAGCCTGCTGTCACTTTGGTGCACGTCTCTCTGTTCCTCTATCACCCGGGATGCACGGTTTGGGGTGCACTGGGCGGGGTCCTGCTCTCATCAGCAGCACTGGATGCGCCAGGTGTGTGCCTCTCTTTTGTTTGGTTGGTGTTGCCATTGGTTTTCTGTCCGAACAAGGGGTCCCAAAGTACTGGTCGGCTCCAGGGAGGGGATCAGGGTGGCGTTCCTACTGGATGCCAAGGAAGGGGTCAGGGAGGCAGCAGGGAGCCCAGCACGAGACCAGGCATTTGGAGTTGGAAGCAGAGCCCTGCCCGGGCTGGCCCAGGTCTTCAGCATGAACCCCACAACCCCAGGCTCCATTTACCCAGCTGGACAGAGGGGAGAACAACACTCCGTTCGGGTTCTGGGAAGGGGCACTGTCGGGCTGGCGTGGGCTACCGTTATTCCAAAGTACCGCACATATCTGTCCTGTTACCTGTCACTGTTCCCCACCTGCTGATACCCACCCACTGGGCTCAGCGCTTCTGCACGTGAATTTCTGGAGGGATGCAACCACTCAGTCCCTATCAACCTCCACTTATAAGAGTATCATTTACAACAACAGAAGAGCAGAAATGCACAAACGTCTCACAACCCACGCATCAAGCAACAGAAGCAATAGGCAATCCATGTACACAGGGAAATGGCAGCCTTTTGAAAGCACTGAGGTACATTAAAGGGTTTGCAAGTCCTCGTCAATGAAAAAAGCACAGCCTAAACCCATCCACATTGCATCAGAACACTCTCTGGGGTGTAGGAGAACGTTGCTGGATACACGCCGAACCTATAGCCCTGATTATTTCTTGTAACACAAGGGATGTCTTTGTTATCTGCACTTGGTAAACTCTCCGCACTTCATCTACATTACTTTCGAACTTGGAGGTGAATATATTTTAAAATTGTAAGAGTGAAAATGTGGGGGAAAGCCCCCAGAGTGTGGCCCTAACTTCAGGAAGGAGCTAGCTCCTGGAATATGATGATGGTCATTTGAAGAGATGGAGCCTGATTTCCCTCCCGGGTCACCTCTGAACAGGTAAATGGGGAGATGGATGGATGGATGGATGGATGGATGGTTATTATCTGTGGATGGTTAGTAGCCATGGATGGTTAGTAGATGGATGGATGGTTAGTAGATGTACGGATGGTTAGTGGATGGATGAATGGATGGATGGATGGATGATGGATGTATGGTAAGTAGGTGGACGGATGGATGGAAGGATAGAAGAATGGATGGATGATGGTTAATATCCATGGATGGTTAGTATCCATGGATGGTTAGTAGATGGATGGATGGTTAGTAGAAGGATGGATGGTTAGTAGATGGATGGATGGATGGATGAAAGAATGGATGAATGAATGATGGATATATGGTTAGTAGGTGGATGGTTGGATGGAAGGATAGAAGAATGGATGGATGATGGTTAGTATCCACGGATGGTTAGTATTCATGGATGATTAGTAGATGGATGGATGGTTAGTAGAAGGATGGATGGTTAGTAGATGGATGGTTACTAGATGGATGGATGGATGGATGGATGGATGGATGGATGATGGATATATGGTTAGTAGGTGGATGGATGTAAAGAAGGACAGAAGAATGGATGAATGATGGATGCATGGTTAGTGGATGGATGGATGGATGGATGGATGGATGGATGGATGGATGGTTAGTGGATGGATGGATGGATGGATGAATGGATGATGGATGGAAGGGTAGAAGGATCGATGGATGATGGATCGATGGCTCGATCAATGTTCTTAGCTCCTAGTCATACGAAATCTTGTCTGCTAGACTTTCTCCTGGTATCTGAATTATTCTTGGATAGTCAGTGAAAACTGACACATTTCCAATCTGGTGCATATATAACCAGCGCCTTACCCTGAATCAGATCAGCTCTGCTGCTCTTTCAAAGTTCAGGTTTTGATCTTCAAGCCTGGGCAGCACTAGACATTTTGGCCAGGATGCTTTCACCAGGGCAAAGCCCCCCAGAACTTCCCTCCTCTGAGTCCCACCTACCCAGCTCCTACTCCCTCTCCTCAGGCTTGCCTTCCCCAAGTTCCTTGGGGTCCCTCTTCTCAGTAATTCCTTAGCACACTCAGCCACTCATCAACTATCCGAGGGCCCACTCTATGGAATATGGCAGTGAAATCAAGCAGTCATAGCCCTGCCTCAGAGAGCAGTGTTTACTTTTAATAGCCCTTGATTTACATGTATTTATTTGTGTTTATCTGAGTCTCCCCAAAGTCTTTGAGCAGTCTCACTTTTTATTCTAACTCAGCACCTGGCTGAGAGCCCAACACAGAGAGATCTCCTTTCAGATGCTTAATTACTCCACTGAATGCAAGCAAAACAAAAATGAGCTTGCCATGAAAAGCTGAGTATTTAGATAATGAAGGTTTCTTATCATTACCTTTGGTCTATGAGGGCACAGGCGCGCACACACAGAGAGACACGCACAGAGTATGCATGTATATAAATGTCCACACTTACCTTTACATGTAGATCTCCATCATCCATCCATCCATCCACTCATCTTGTGTGCATGCAAGACCACACGTCCATCTCATATCCCTTCCACCTTCTTCCATACTAAGGGACTTTGATTTTATGGATGCTGGCAATATGGCAGCTAAAAGACCATTTCCTCAGTCTCCCTTGCAGCTAGGTATAACCAAAAAGTAAGCTCTGGTCAATAAAATAAATATAAGCAGAAATTGTCAGAGAAAACTTCTGAAACATTCCTTAAAAGGTGGATGGATGGATGGCAAGGGGCCCTTTAGGCCCTCTCCTTGCTTTGTCTTGTGCTTGCCTGGAGTACCAAGGAGATGCCTGGAGCACCAGCAGCCAGCCTGGAGAAGGAGGTAACCCAGAGGATGGGAACTACTCTTGAAGGATGTCTGAACATAGTGAGAAAAAGAGCTGTGGTTGTTGGTGGCACTGCAGAATGGCCATACGAGCCCTAATCTGACTCTCTTGACATCATTTGTGGGAGAGAGAGATAAATTTTTATCTTCTCTTTTTTTCCTAAAAGTCAGATTTGCTTCAGTCGTATTTAAACCATTTTTCTTTCTGGTCTTTGTTACCAGAGGTCAGGTCCAGTTTATAATAGAGACCTGCTATGAGTTCCTTATGGGCAGTCAAAACAGCTAAGAGGTGTCTGGCCATCATACATAGTGCCTATTGAACAGATATTGAAGAGAAATCTCCTGAGTCAGTAGAATGGTAGGTGGAAAGATGGGTAGATGGATGTGTCAGTGGATACGTGGGTGGATTGATGGGTGGATGGATGGATGGACAGATGGTAGAATGGATAGATAGATAGATAGATAGATAGATAGATAGATAGATAGATAGATAGATAGATAGATAGATAGATGAGTAGGTGGATGGATGGATGGATGGATGGATGGATGGATGGATGGATGGATGGATGGATGAATGGATGGATGGATAAGTGAATGGATGGATGGATAAGTGGATGGATGTGTAGATGGATGGATGGATGGATGAATAGATAACTGGGTGGATGTGTGGATGGATGGATGGATGATGGATGGATGGATGGATGGATGGATGGATAGTTGGATGGATGGATGAATGGATGTTTGGATCGATGGAGGGAGCACCAGGCAGCCTTGTTGCACCAAGAAAACTCAACTCTTGAAAATAGATGATTATTAAAAAAAAGCACTTATTTCTTGTCCCGACTCATACAACATTGCTATTTTTTCTTAAAAAAGTAAAACTGAAACCATTCCTTCTGAAAGCCTTCTCAAATCTTTTGTGGAATAAATGGGTCAGGAATCCCTAAGTATATGAATAAATAAAACATGATGTTATCCACGGGCACGCTATGCTTCAAGTTATGCTCAGGATGAGTGAATACAGAACACGGAGAAGAATTTGGGGGAGTACTCGCCCCCCGCCGCATGAGGTTTCAGTGATTGTGCCATTTTTCAACTGCACTGGAACTGGACATAAAAACCCACAACTTGATTTGTGGAGGCTCACCGCTTCCCGTCGCTTGCAATCACTTCTTCCCCAGCTTCTGTGGTGGAGCCCACTGTACTAAATGTTACTTCTGGAAAAATCGAGCTTTAAAGAAACCATGTGGGTGAGCTTTCAAAATAGTCTCTCATTCATCCAAATGGCCAAGAGACACATGAAAAACTGCTCAAAATCCCTTGGCATCAGGGAAATCCAAATCAAAACCTCAATGAGATACCACCTCACACCAGTCAGAATGGCTAAAATTAACAAGTCAGGAAACGACAGATGTTGGCGGGGTTGCAGAGAAAGGGGAACCCTCCTACACTGTTGGTGGGAATGCAAGCTGGTGCAACCACTCTGGAAAACAGTATGGAGGTTCCTCAAAAAGTTGAAAATAGAACTACCATACGATCCAGCAATTGCATTCCTCAGTATTTACCCCAAAGATACAATTGTATGTAGGGATCTGAAGGGGTACGTGCACCCCGATGTTTATAGCAGCAATGTCCACAATAGGCAAACTGTGGAAAGAGCCACAATGTCCATTGACAGATGAATGGATAAAGAAGATGTGGTATATATATACAATGGAATATTATGCAGCCATCAAAAGGAATGAGATCTTGCCATTTGCAAC